TGAGTAGCTAGGATTACAGGTATGAGCCAAGTCACTCAGCTTTCTATTGGGTTATGATGACATATATATATGTATATACATATATATATATATATATATATATATATATATATATATATTCCAGCCTGCTTTGTTCAAGTTTACATTAGGGCGTGGAGAATGCTAGGGAAGAAGTGGTGGGTGGTGCGGGGGTGTGCAAAAGAGGGAAACACAAGTAAGAAATTGAAAAAGAAACTGTTTCATAATGTTGGCAGGTTTGTATCTGGGCTTTTGTCTCAGCCATATCCAGCTGCCGACAGAAGGCGTTTGCTAAGGCAGCTTTTAGGTGGTCCGTCAGTCCTTTAGTACCAGAAAGAGAACGCAGATAAGCTTCCTTGGGGCTGAGGGGATTGTGGCATTTGCCAGCCTGCTGTCCAGGTTCCAGGAAAGTACATTTTGTAACAATCAGCTCCAGGCTATGAATGGCTCAGCGCTCACCTCACCGAGGGTCTCATTATTTATAGTCTGTCTAAAGCTGCTGGAGTTTCCCTCCTTTGGTTTTTTTGAATTATTAATATTTAAAGATTCCACTTGATAAAAATTGGAGGGGTGAGACTGTCTTCTTTGAAGAATTATGTGACTGGTATTAACTTCCAGAGATAGACTTGTTTTTGTTTTTTTTTTTAGTGCTGATACTGGAGCTTGAACTCTGAACCCTGCAGTCCACTTTTTGGTAATTAACCAGAGAAAAAGATCTCATGGACTTAACTTCCTGGGCTGGCTTTGAATCTTAATCTTCCAAGTCTCAGCCTCCTGAGTAGCTAGGATTACTGGCGGGAGCACCAGTGCCTACCTTTGTAGTTCTTATTTTAATATCATTTGTTGCCCTCAATGAAAGCAGGAGCAAGCAGTCAACTGGGCCTGCGTGTTGTTCAGGATCCGGTGTTGCTTTGCCTGCTCAGAGAGCAGCCATCTGACCTTTCCCAGCTGGCAATCCCACAAGAAGTGTTGCCCTCTCTCAAGGGTGCGGAGACCATGGAGCCGTAGCTCTCAGCTACTGCTGGTCTAAGCCCAGGGCCCAGCTCGGGCCGGCTCTGCTAACATTGGAGGAGTAGCAGAGTCCAAATGGCAGACTCGCTTTGAAACATCACACAGACTTTGCAAAATGAACAATAAGCCACAAAAGCAGAAGGCCTAGGTCCCGGAGGCCTTTATGTCCTTGCAGGGAAATGTCCTGCCGTCTGGTGGGTGGCAAGGGAGGTGGAGAATTTCTGTGGGGGTGGAGGTGGGGCTTGAACTCAGAGACGGG